GGTGAGTTAATTAATGATAAAATCTTCTAACAGCTTCTGATACATTGCTTGTGTTAAGTATTCCTGCCATTCTTTAATAGGCCTGCTATTGTAATGACCACAGCAAGTACTGTAGTTTTTGCATAATCTTCTGGGACTCAGTGCTGGGTGGTAGGTAGCTATATCCAGGCCCTGTCCATAAGGTACCCCACACTTACGGGAAAGACACAAATGTTAATAGTGGTGATATAAGAAGCACATGGTTCCGGAGGACTGTAGGACCAAAATTGTAAGAGTCAGTGGCTTTTTGCAAGCATTGGCCTCTACCTGGGTTGCTAGACTATTGGGAGTTCATTTCTGCTCTGCTGCCAGCAGTCAGGTGTGATCCTGGCAGAGAAGACTGGAAGATAAACAGTCAGTAGGGGGTTAACAAAAGACCCAGGTAGTAGATAGCCAGGCAGCCTACTCCTGAAGCCCCTAGGCCAGTGCTGCTGAACATAAGACATGTGTATTTTAGCACACAGACCCCTCTCTGTTGACATATGAGCCAAGTTGCCCCAGCAGCCAGGTATCTGATAACAGTTGTTTTTTCTAAACTAAAACCTCAGTATTCAGGTTTAATTGCAGTGTTGGCACCTTGTGATAAAAATGTGGGTTTGGGTTTGCATTTTGGGCACTCAGTATCTAAAAGGTTCGCCATTACTGCCCTGGGCCCTTGCCAAGGAAAAAGATGGCCACTAGGTGGTATGGAAGGGTGGAACAAGAAGGGTGGTAGGTTTGATCTAGAATGGTAGACGTGTTTTTTCTCTGTGCCAGTCACCTTGTTCCAGCTGCCAGGAATGCTGTGTTGAAAGGATTCTAAGATTGAGCAAGGAAAAGGCTCATGATCAGTCAGTGATATCTGTCGTGGCCTGTTGGGGAGGAACAGCATCTTTGCTGTACACTTGCCATCCAGACTTGGTATTTAAAGGTCCCTTGTAGCGTGAGGTAACATACAAGGCTGGGTGCATGGTTAAGTCTTAAGAATGGAGAGACCTGAACATACTGGGGGCTTCCTAGAGGAGCTGAGTGACCTAATAAGGAGCTGAGTGTTGGGCTTGAGTTGGTAAAGTTGCAGAGCTGGGGCAAAGTCTTGGGGAGGGGAGAATGAACCCTTGAGGGATGCCAGTAGGTCACACACCATTTACATACAACCTGCAGGTCAGCAGCTCTGGGGAAGCTGCCCATTTCTGGGAATTGTGCAGAAGGGTAGGGCAGCTACTGGAATGCAAAGCCATTTCCTCCACAGGGGTTGGGTCACTCCCCCCAAAGGTCCTCATCCCCCACAGCTGGGCACACCCAGGCTTCATGGGGATGAGATTAGCTTCCCAGGACTGATTCAGCTGCATGTGAAGTCAGCTCTGTTAATAGATTTTCCTCCTCTTCCAGCCTTATTTACCTAGGAAACTTACAGCTCAGCTGATGGGTATCTTTAAAGTACAGAGGACTCTTGACTTACGAACTTCATCAGTTCCCAAGGGCTGGTTGTAACTCAAGTTGGTTGTAAGTCATTTTACCTGGGTACACATGATAGATAACAAGAAGCAGATGAATCATTCATTAACCTAAGTTGTTTGTACTTGAGGGTCTGCTGTAATTAATATCAAAATAGGCAAAAGAACAGTGAATACCAAGCTGACAATAAAGTTTGTAGCATTTTTGGGTTGCCCATTGACCCAGCCTCTTAATCTGTGGTCCTGTAATTTGGACCATGAGGAAGAAGAATGCCCTGTAGGGTCATAAATCAAGATGACAGTTGAAGAAAAGCCATATGACGATTAATAAAAGAACTGGAATAGGGTGGCATTACAGTCGTAAGTGTGACCATTAGCTTCTGACCAGCCCACCGTGGAGGTCCATTGAGTAGTGGGTGTTACTGCTGTACACCTCCTACTGAACATCTGGCCAGGACTGTGGGATACTGCTCTGGAGGTGGTGCTAGGTAGAGCTGGCAGGGACCATGGAGCCTGTCGACAACTGGACAGCATCTGCAGTCAAAGCCATTTCTCTCACATGTACCTGTTGCTTACCTGGAACAAAATACAGTGGTTTGGGATTATTTTGGGAAACAAGCTCTGTAGAACTAACCCTGGAACCTGGAAACTTGGAAAGAAAGGGGAAGATTTGGTGAGAGAGAGTTAACTTCTAGATACTGCTACTAGGGGAGCTCCTGGGGCCCACTACTGTCCTAAGCATTTGTACTACTTTAGGTCCTCCCATACCCCTCTGCTGTGGGTGTCCTTAGCTAGGACTAAGGATGGGTCAGAGAAGGGCATTTAATCACTGCAACCTGGAAAGGAGTGCAGGAGCCCCACTAATAGGCTTATCAGTGCAAGTAATCCCAGCAAGGGGCCCTCCAAGTTATGTTCACTGGGACCTTACACATTCTCATGGCCTTGTTCTCCTGCTTTATGCATGGGGAAACTGAGGCTCCCAGGGGCTAAGAAATTTGCCCCAGATCACACAGGATTCCATATAGAGGAACAAGGCTGAACACTCATGAGTGAACAGGGCAGCCTAGCTTTGGAGTTGAGGCTGTTTGTGACCTCCTAGGTACCCACTGAAGACTGCTGGGACTTTGCTGAAGACTGTTCGGAGGAGGCCTCAGACGCACCCACCCCACTTGAAACTTGAGTGAAAAGGATATAGTGGGGTCACCAGTCCATCCAACCATCCACTTCCTATGGCTGTGAGCTAGCCTCTTTCCCAAGGATGGGCACCATTCCCCTGCTTCTGGGTACAGGGAGGGTTTGGGTGCATGGAAGGCTGCATTGAGGCAGGATCAGTTAGTCAGTTAATGCATAGACACTGAGCCTCGTATGTGTTGGTCCTTGCCTGGCCCTGTGAGAGGAACAGAATGAGAAGACAGGACGCTAGTCCTCAAGGAGCTTATGATCTGTGTGGAGAGGTGAATCTGGCATTCAGAAAACAACTTCAAACCATGCGAAATGGTGCTGACATGGGTAAGGAAAGGGAGCAAAAAGCAGACAACCAAAAAAGCTTACTTCTCAGTTTAAAGGTGCCTGAGGTTTTTGTACACATATTATTAAAATTGTTGAGGCAATATTGCCTTTCAGGAGGAAGTTTCCAGCATGAGCAATAGTTTAGGTTGCTGGTGCAGCCTGTGGACTGGGTGGGGCCCTAGGAGCAGTAGTTGCCATGGGGACCAGCTCAGCTGCCTCCACTGCCAAGTGGCTGCTCTTCCAAAGTTGGTTTCTGCATCGAAGGGTCTGCCTGGAACCTCAAAGCCATTTCCCATGGAAACAATGCTCCAAATGATGGGTGTCCTTCCCAGACAGGCTTATGTCATCTGGCTGTAAGGGAGCTGAGAATAGTGGGGCTTCTAATGAGGGAGGAGGAGGAAGCTGGGAATTGTGGAGCCTCAGAGCAGAGCCATGAGAGAGAGAGAGAGAGACAGAGAGAGAGAGAGAGAGAGAGAACCCCCCCACACACACTGGGGGAGGGAGGGGGAGAGAGAGCAAAGTAAACAAGGCAAGAGGACACATGAGTATCTTCCCTGAGCTGGACATATTTCATACATGTTTTTTCATGCTTAGGGTGATTCTACAAAGTATGACTCTTTAACCCCACTTTATAAACAAGGCCCTGAGAAGTAACCTGCCCAAGGTCATTCAACTGTTCAGTGCAGAAAATTAGAGGGCAAACTTTGAAAAGAACCTAAGTCTACCTTATATCACTCTCTGACCTCAAAGGGACCCATTCTTGATCCCTCAAACTGAAGAGTCAGCATTCTAGAATGACCTGTAAGGTGTCTTCTAGTTAAGAAGGCTGGAAAGGAGATGGATGCTGTGAATGTAAGCAACATGCACCTTAAGAACCAACCAACTTTTTATCATGTAGTGACTTTCATTATAACCTGTGTTCGGCTTTCAAAAAACTTTCTCTGCACCATGGGAGACCAGTAAATTTTGTAGGAGAGTGGTGCATGCCTCTTGTTGTCTTCATTACTCTTCCCATTTACGGATGCCTCACTTAGCCAGGAAGATTTTTCTGAGTGGAAAACATGCCCATCCAGAGATATTTAGCCTACAGCCCTTCTGAAAATTGGTAGGCTCCCTGGATTCATTTGCCTACCCTGGAAACCCTGTCTTTCTTCCTGGACGCACACTTGTTCTGGAAGGATCCTGTTGGTGGGATTGGTCTAACCTCTTGCAGACAGTGCCAACCCCTGCCTCAGGGTTGTTCCTTCTCTCTGTGTGGCAAGGGCCAACTCTGGTTGGTAGATTGTTCAGAAACACCAGTGCGAGTTCTCCTGCTCCTTCAGCAAGTGTCTGCCCTATGCCAGTGCTGTACTAGGCTCTGAGGAATGGGGAAGAGAATAGTCTCTATCCTCTGTGCACAGTAATTGTGTTGAAGATCTTACACCTGATGATGGTCCCTGCACCAGGAACCACAGGTCTCAAGGCACAGAATGGAGACAGGGCCTCCCTTGGGAGGCACTACCTAGGCCTGAGCCAGGAAGAGGTGTGTGCCCTCCCCAGGTCCTGGCTGTGTGAAGAGGGCGCGTTATGATCACGGGGCACACTGGGAGAACACGGCTGGGGATGGAGGGTAGAGTATGAAAGGCTGTAGCACGGGTATAGGTAAAGAGATCATGAAGGCAGCCAGTGACAGGCCTTGAATGCCCAGTGAAGGAGTCTGGACTTGACTTTTCAGCAGTGGGCAGCACGTAAAAGGTTTTCAGGACAAAGACCCAACCTGAGGTGTGGGTTAACTATGGAGTCTATCCCTCTTCCACTGAGTCCCAGGACGCTCCACGTAGGGAGGGAACCCCAAGGCTATGACTTCCTGATATCTGCAAGGCTGACACACAGGGTTGCAGGGCCCTGTAAAAAGCTGACCATTTCCTGCCACAGCCTTGGCAGGCAGAGTGCATTTTTTCAAGACCTCAGGTGATTCTGCTGTGAGTGGTCAGAGATCTGACTCAGAGGTTAAGTATATGCTATCTTGTTTTCTTTCAGGATGAAAAATCAACAGGAGGACTTTACTTCTTGATATCTTCCCACTCACTTTGTAGTTTTCATTCATGTGGCCACTAGTATTTTTTAAAAAAAACTTTGAAAACCACCTCTTTCACCAGCAAACACATTTTAGCACTGGCCCAGCATCATTATCCATACTAGGTGAGGACAGCAAAAGTTAATGAGGGGCATTGAAGAGCTGATGCCATGTTCTGCTGGCCTGAGGGGAACCGACTCCCATTTCTGTCACCTTCTGATTCCCCTCCAGGCCCTCTGGACCACCATCCTGTTGTGGATTCTGTTGGGATAGCTTAGTGAATTAAAGCCACAGCTCATTTCCATTTTTTTTTTTTTTTTTGAGACAGGGTCTCACTGTGCAGTTGAAACTGACCTGGAACTCACTGTTTAGCCCAGGCTGGTCTCAAACTCAAAGCAAGCTTCCTTCCTCAGCCTCCCGAGTGCATGCGCCACCATGCCTGGCTTCATTTCCATCTTTGTAGGGAGAAGTGGGAACCAGATTCTGGTGTTACAGACAGCACCTGATCCTGTCCTGCTGCAAAAGAGCTTAAATGAAAGAAATCAAATATTTTCATGTGGCTCAAATATTTTATTTTATGGGAAACATTGAAATATTGTCAAACTTTCTAGTTTATGCACATATCTTGGCTATCCTTCAGTATCTAAGGGGGATTCCGAGATTTTCTATGGATATCAAAACCTGCTGGTACTCAAATTCCTTATATAAAATGAAACAATATTAGCATATAATACATTCTCCCATATTTTTAAATCATCTTGACATTATGTATATACACTCACCCATATTTTAAAATCATCTTTACATTAAGTATGAACCGGATACAACATAAATGCTGTATAAATATTCACACAGTATTGTTTAGAGAATAATGATAAGAAAACTCTATACAAACACAATTTTAAAACATCTTTTCAATCCACAGTTGGTTGCATCTGTGGATGTAGAATTTATGGATAAGGAGGGTGACTGTACATGTCTATTTTAGAAAATTGACACACTGAGAAAACTACAGTGCCCTGCAAACTGACTCAGGACAGCTACCTCAAAAACCCCTTCATGCCTGGATATACCCCTAGAGATGGGGGCATTCCCAAAGTGGGGTCATATGTATGTATTTGCTGTTTTATAGTTTAGTGTTTTTTCATTCATAACATTTTTCTAGACTAGTGAATATCATTCTTTTTAATTGGCTGCATAGTCAAATGACACAGATAAACTCTTTATATTCTCCCACCATTTATTTCCATCCCCCACTCTTTTCATTTTGTACACTTCTCCTGGTATTGACTTAGAATGGATTCTCACATATGTAGAGCTGAGAGAGAGGCTATGTCCATTTTCAGTTCTTATATAATTATGCAAGTGCATTCTCCACCCAGCCTGAGAATCCTGTTCTCACTGCAGTGCGTTACAAGTGCAGACTTCCCCACGGTGGGGAAATCCTAAATGTCAGCATCAAACTTAAGTGACTGAACGATTCTGCAGCAACCCTGGCCCGCACCCTTGTGCAGATCAGCACGGCCACATAACCCATGTTAGTGCCTAACCCTCTTTCTGTCAAATCCTAGACTGGCTCTTGTAGAGCTGAAAATAACTATAAAAAATCACCTAAGCCAGCCCTTGAATCTTGTAGAAAAAGTAACTATGGCTTGGAGAGGTCAGTGGCCTTTCCAAGTAGGGGCAGCATACAGGAACCATAGTCTTTTGTCCTTTTCTGCCTCCCTCCCCTCTGAGAGAACATATGTTTGTTCCCCTGCCACACATGCCTTGCTTCTCCCCTTTCCAGCATGAAAGGGATTTTCAGATTTCTTCTGCAGAGAGCTAAGATCACTCATTTGTTCCTCCTGCCCGGGGCCAATTTTCCTACTACCTAAGATGCCTTAACAGCAAGAGGTTTTACATCTCCCTGGCCGGGTTCACAGTAGCTTAGATCCCTGGTACAGCTCCTAACTGTTCTTTAGGTGCCCCCCAACCCCCACCCATTGTGTAACATCTGGTACTGTCGGCCTCCTCCTCCTGGAGACTGTTGGCTTCTATCATTGTGTCAGATGCTGGTTTCCCTCCTGCTTTTCTAAGTGTTCCTCCCATGACCCCCCCCACGCCTCTCTTCCTTGTCACTTTGTGACTTTATTTCCAGTAATTACTCTTCACTTCTCTGCTATTGCCTTATCATAGTCCTTATCAGTTAAGGCACAGTTGTTCATTAGAACCCTTGTCCCAAGATGTTTTACCTCCCTGGCCGGGTTCACAGTAGCTTAGATCCCTGGTACACCTCCTAACTGTTCTTTAGGTGCCCCCCAACCCCCACCCATTGTGTAACATCTGGTACTGTCGGCCTCCTCCTCCTGGAGACTGTTGGCTTCTATCATTGTGTCAGATGCTGGTTTCCCTCCTGCTTTTCTAAGTGTTCCTCCCATGACCCCCCCCACGCCTCTCTTCCTTGTCACTTTGTGACTTTATTTCCAGTAATTACTCTTCACTTCTCTGCTATTGCCTTATCATAGTCCTTATCTGTGTAACATCTGGTACTGTCGGCCTCCTCCTCCTGGAGACTGTTGGCTTCTATCATTGTGTCAGATGCTGGTTTCCCTCCTGCTTTTCTAAGTGTTCCTCCCATGACCCCCCCCACGCCTCTCTTCCTTGTCACTTTGTGACTTTATTTCCAGTAATTACTCTTCACTTCTCTGCTATTGCCTTATCATAGTCCTTATCAGTTAAGGCACAGTTGTTCATTAGAACCCTTGTCCCACATTCCCAGCTGCCTCCTGATTCCTTAGCTCTACGTTTCTCAGCTGTGGCAGTTCTTTATTGGGGAGGGGGATCTGTGCTGTGCACTGCAAGGTGTTTAGAAGCATCCCTCATTAGATACCAGTGACATCCACTCTGTTTTGACAATCAGAAATATCCAAAACCTTGCAGACATCCTTGGGGGACAAAATCACCTTGGTGGACCACTTCCTTAACCAGGCTCAACATCATGAAAAAGAAGCTTCCACTTCCTCCTCCCCTTCTCCCCAAGGGAGACAGGGTTGGTCAGATACCCTAAGATTCCAGCATGACTTTGTGCATGATAAAGGGAAGGTAGCCAGTGGGAAAGGAGCCAGGATCACAGAATTTGGAGAGTTGGAGGAGCCTTTGAGTCCCTAAGCTCAGATGTACTAAGCACTTGTGGTCCCATTTACCTCTGTGTTTAGACCTCATATCCTTTCCAGCAAACCGTTCCAATTAGTGGGAGAGGAGAGCAAAGGGATGAAAAAAGAATTAAGATGTGTTACGCATATACCATCCCCCCACAATGAATGAATCAAGTAACGCAAACATGTATTAGTAAAAAAATTTTTTTAAACATTAAAAGCAAAATAAAGGATGGATAATAGAAAACAGGGAGGTGGGTCATTTGAAATTGGGAATGGGAACGGGATCTAGGGAGTAAGGGAGGGGAAGGGAGAATAGGGAATGGGAGACAAAAAATAAGAGACGGTACTTGCATGTATCAACTTCTTATGACGAATGTAATCATTATGGGCTGTCAGCATGTACTGTACTATTGAATTTTTTTTTTAAAGAGGAGAAAAAGAAAACGAAAGGTGAACTGTTATGCCATCCCTGCTCTGACCAAAGTCCTCAGGATTAGCTGTGTAGTTCGAGGGCAGAGTTTAGTTTACCCGTATAGTTGTAGGTGGAGAACTTCTTTGACGTACCTTTGCCTGTTCTTGTCGAACACCTGTGGTACCACGTTCCCAAGACCAGGCCTGGCACACGGTTGGTGTTCAGTAAATGAGGGTAGACGTAAGTCATTTGAATAGTGATTGTCTCTCGGTGGGTGATACTATTTTTGTTTGTTTGTTTGTTTCTTTATATTCCAACTTTTCTACCTTTGGGAAGAAGGGAGAAAATACATGAACATTTCCCCCTAATTTAGAGAGAGAAAAGGCCCTGGAACAACCCTGGCCTCACGCCACATGTCTTGCCTTCCCAGGTCTGACTTACCAGAACCATGGCAACCAGCGCTGTCCCCAGTGATAACCTCCCCACCTACAAGCTGGTGGTGGTGGGCGATGGGGGTGTGGGGAAGAGTGCTCTCACCATCCAGTTTTTCCAGAAGATCTTTGTGCCTGACTACGACCCCACCATTGAAGACTCCTACCTGAAGCATACAGAGATTGACAATCAGTGGGCCATCTTGGATGGTGAGACCCGGGGAAGCCCTGTGTGGGTGGGGCATTGAGAAGGAGGGCCAGGAAGATGCGGCAGGCGTTAGAAGGGCGGCATAAATTACAACAGGGAATGCCTTCACAGAGGGCTTGAAAAGCTTTGTGAAAAGCAAAATGTGCATTCAACAGAGACAAGGCTTGAATCATGCCAGCTCAGTGATGTCATATTTGTTATTGCTTGCTTGATCAGAGTCTCTGATTAACAGTTACAGATGTCTGGCTAATAAGGAAGGGGAGAACAACTTATTTTTAATAAGCATAGTTTGTTTGGTAATTGTCTTTTTGAGTGGATCTTGCCTCTGACATTGTGTTTCTAGTTCGGGTTTTTTTGTATTTCTCAAAGTATTATAACCAGTGAACTTAATAGAAATGCAGATTTTCGGGGCCCTACTAATTCAGAAATTCTAATGATGGGGCCCAACAACCTGTTCAACAAACCTAGGCAGTGTGAAGTGAGGAACCACTGCTCTAAATTTTTACTGATTATTATTTTGTATTCCCCAAGTTTCCCTCTTAAAGACTCATTAATCATAGAATGTCAGTCTGGAAAGGGAGCTTTGAACACTGCTGAGATACAAATTTTCTGTCAGATATGTGCTTTGCAAATATGTTTTTATTTTTTAGTCTGTGGCTTGTTTTTCTTTCAAAGGCCAGACCTTTTAATGTTGATGAAATCCAGTTTATCAATTCTTTTATGGATTGTATTTTCAGTGTTGTGTCTAAGAAATCTTTCCTAACCTAAAGTTACAATAGTTTTTTTTTTCCTATTTTCTCCTAGAAGTTTAATGGTTTTACATTTAGGTTTATTATCTGTCCTGTGTTGATTAAAAAAAAAAAAAGGCATGAAGATGGAGTGAAGTTTAGTGTTCTGTAAATGGACATGGAGAGATTCCAGAACTATTTGTTGAAAAGACTGACTTTTTTCTGCTGAGATGTTTTTGTGCTTCTAGCGAACATCCATTGTCCTATATAATCTGTTTCTTTAATCTGTTTGTCCTAACACCAGTACCACACTGCCTTGATAACTGCTGACCTTCAAGATATTTGATGAAAAGACTGACTTTTTTCTGCTGAGATGTTTTTGTGCTTCTAGCGAACATCCATTGTCCATATAATCCGTTTCTTTAATCTGTTTGTCCTAACACCAGTACCACACTGCCTTGATAACTGCTGACCTTCAAGTCTTGAAATCAGATAATGTTGAATCTCTAGCTTTGCTCTTTTTCAAAGTCGTTTAAATTAGCCTAGGTCTTGAGTATTTTCATATGAATCTTAGAACCAGCTAAAATTTTGGATTAACAGTGTTCAGCCTTTTAACCCATGAATGCACTACTGTATCTCTTCCCATTTAAAATTTCTCTCATCAGTTTTTTTAAGCTTTGAATGTATAGGTCTTTTATACATTTTATTAGATTTATACCTGTATCTATTGATGCTACTGTAAATTTTTTTTATAGTTTAAATTTTAGTTTTTCCTTGTTTGCTGCTAGTATATATGTACTCAAATATATATATTTTTTCTTTTTCTTTTTGGTGCCAGTGATCGAATTCAGGACCTTGTGCTTACACGAGACAGGCAGTGGCACCACTGAGCTAAATCCCCACCTTCTCAATTTTATATATTAATCTTATGACTGTAGCTTGCTTCTTTTTTGGCCTCGTTGGTTGTGTCTGTGATATAGTTTTACCGCTTCTTTTTTTAATGTGGTTGGCTTTTATTTCTTTTTCTTGCTTTATTTCATTGACTAAGGCCTCCAGTCCACTGTTGAACAGAAGTCCTGAGAGTAGACATCCTTGTCTTGTCCTTAAGGGGAAAGCTTTTAATCTTTTAGCATTGGGCATGATGTTAGCTATGGATTTGTTATAGAGGTCCGCTATCAGGTTGAGTAAGTTGCTTTCTAGAAGTATATTGTTTCATTTTTCAGTATTTTGAAAATTTCCAACAATCTTTCTGTTCTTGACCTCTAAGTCCATTGTGCCAGAGAAACTTAGTGTGCATTATTTGAAGTGTTTTTAAACTTATTGAGGCTTCTTTTACCCAAAATATGGTCAATCTTGGTAAATGCTCTGTGTGTGTGTGAAAAGAACTTGTATTCTGCTATTGTTGGTGCAGTGTTCTTTGAATGTCAGAGCAAATTGGCTGATAATGTTTTATAAATCTTCTACCTCTGTATTGGTTTTCTTCTGTCAACTATTGACAGAGAGAGAGAGAGTTTTTTTTTTTTTAATTTCAGAGAATAAATGTGGATTTCCCTTTTTTTTTCCTTTCATTTCTGTCAGTTTTTGCCTCATGTGTTTATTAAATGTATAAATGTTTAGGACTGATATAGATTCTGGATTAATTGACCTTTTAATTATTATAAAATGACTTTCATTATCCTTGAGTTTCCCCTCCCTACACTGCAGCCTGGAAATTGTCAAGGCCAGAAGACACTCATAGATACCCTAGTTGATTTTGTATCCTATTTTGGGGATCACTGTTCTCTGTTGTCTGATATCTAGTGTCTTGAAAATGATTGTTTCATTTAATTTTTGGTTTTTCCAGGTGAGAAGGTAAGTCTAGTTCCTGTTAACTCCATCTTGACCATAAACAGAATTGAATCACTTTGTGAACATGCTAAAAAAACACTGGATTGTGCACTTTAAAGGGGTGAATATTATAGTATTTGAGTCATATCTCCATTAAGAAAGCACTACCTTTCGAAGGCTTGTCTGCAGCCTGGGATTTTGATCAGATCCACCAGGTACCAACGTGTTCCCACTGTGGGGATTTGGCACATGGTATTCTCTGTGCAGAACATTCTTCCTGCAGAAATACTTACTTCATTTAAGTCTCAGCTCAGATGTCACATTATCTGCGAGATTGTCCCTGACCAAACCATCTCCACTAGTGTCCAGCTACCCTTGTCATTTCTGTGACCGCCCAACTCTGTTTTTCCTTATTCAATTTCTCTATTTCTTTTACTGTTGAACATATTATGTATTTGAGTTTCCATCTCTCCTCACTAAAATATAAACGTCTGAGAGCATGAGCTTAATTTTATTTAGTACAGTTCCTCAGCATCTAAAATACTACTTGGCTCAGAAGAGATCCTCAGTAAACATTTGTGGGATGAATAAATGAGTGAATGAATTCTGAACAACAGAATATGTACAGTCACAGGTTTGGTATGCTAGCTCTGTTATTTTCTTTTTTTCTAATTCATTAAAATAAACATACATATATAACATAAAACTATTAAAATTAAAAACACACTTTTTTTTTCTAAAATAATTGCATGCGTCACTCATTGGAATTTATAGCACACTTCAGGATACAGTGAGTTAAATAAATGTAAACAAGTCTCTTTACAATAGAATTATAAGAACCTTAAATATATGGCCACATTGAAGCATTATCCTTAGGGTTCCCAAGGGGCATTTTTGTGGTACTGGGGATCAGTGGTACCCTGACCTACATTCCTAGCTACCTTTTTAGACAGGATCTTGCTAAATTTTCCAGCTGGGATCTGAACTTATGGTCTTCCTGCCTCACCCTCCCAAAGTGCTGGGATTACAGGTATGCACCACCACACCTAGCTCCAAAGGGACTGTTTTTTGCATGCCATTCTGGGCTGTGTCCACAGAAAACATTCTAGAAAATATTGCATAATGCGTGTAAGAGAGTAACCATGCCTGGTACTAATTGTAGCTCAGTATTTCTTTGCAGCCATAAAAGTTGTTTAACTTTTTTTTTTCCTTTGGACAGTAGTTTCTGGGAAAAAATGCTTTTTCTCAAGGGTGATTATTAGATTTCGTGATAACATTTATAGCAGTATCAGCGGAGAGGGGGAAGCACGGCCACAGCATTACTGTAGAAGCAGAGATTCTCAGAGCCTTCAATCCTACTGTGCAAGTCGGCCCTGGTTTACAGCACTGCCCACCCAGGCCTCCCTCAGGAGTGCTCAGTAAGTGCTGAGACCAACTCACTTCTCTACTCAGTATATGGTCTTTCTGTTAAGCAAAGGAAGACATGGAAGAGGGGCAAAAAAGAAAAAAAAAACAACCAAAAACTTTTCAGCTAAATATTAATTAGTATGGCTTTTCAAAGCACGTTCCATATTTGGGGAACTTTATTCCAGGGACTGTTGTATTGGGGCTTAAGTGTAACCCTGAACCTTTCTGAGTCTAGCCTTTTCTAGTGTAGATTGCAGCCCTGGGGTGGACTTTGCATGAGCATCCAGAACCCTGACATCCTACCTCCCTGGAGGCCACCCATCTGGGTGGGGCTGAAGGTGCCTTCAGTTGCTCCATACCCCACTGAGCTGCAAGTGCTGTGGACTCTGGGTTCTCTTCTTCCAAACCCAGAAAGAGTAGAAACACGGCAGCATGATGTTGGTGGTCACGGTGATGATGAGGAGGAGGATTATCATGACAGTGATGATATTATTGGGCAGTTGCTGTACGGAGGGCCTGTGGGCAGCACATTGTACTCACTGCTTTTATCCTTATAAGCACTGATGTGGTGCTCGGTACCTCTGTGTTGTGGGTGAGGAAAATAAAGCTAAGTGCCCTTGGGAATGGGAGTTGCGATCCCTGGGACAAGAGTGTAGGCTGGATTATCAGGACCAACGCACGCATTCGCGTCCCTTCTGACTGTGCTCAGATGCTCGGGCCAGGTGCTGTGTTCCCCTTGAATGGTGACACGTGTGGGCTTGCTCAAGAAGCCCTCTCTGTCTTTCCTCAGAGAGTCCTCAAGGGTGCCTGGTTTCTTAGAAATCTGTTTCTTGTTTTATCTCAAGGGGTTGCAGGAACCTAAGAGACAGGAGGCAGCAGCCATGCTCTCCTGTGTCTGGGGGACCCCAAAGCTTTGGAGCAGGCCTGTTCTGAGTCCTTTCTCACAAGAGTTGGAGACCTTTGTCTCACTTTCCACAGTCAAGTGCCCAGCTCTGGGGACATCTCTTCCGCCTTTCCCTGGTCCCCACCTCTCTGCTTTA